CACTACAATACCCACCCGACTCCCTGCTTCTCGCCTGCAAGCAGTACGTGCGCGCGTGCGTGCGTGCGTGCGTGCGTGCGTGCGTGCGTGCGTACGTGCGTGCGTGCGTGTACGGTATCTCCGCAGAGCACAGAGCACAGTACGTGCTTGCGTGCGTGCGTACGTGCGTGCGTGCGTGTACGGTATCTCCGCAGAGCACAGAGCACAGTACGTGCTTGCGTGCGTGCGTACGTGCGTGCGTGCGTGTACGGTATCTCCGCAGAGCACAGAGGACAGTACGTGCTTGCGTGCGTGCGTACGTGCGTGCGTGCGTGTACGGTATCTCCGCAGGGCATAGATGACAGTACGTGCGTGCGTGCGTGCGTGCGTACGTGCGTGTGTGCGTGTACGGTGTCTGCGCAGGGCACATCGCGACCGTGCGTGCGTTCGTTCGTGCGTGCGTGCGTTCGTGCGTTCGTGCGTGCGTGCGTGCGTGCCTGTGTGCGTGCGTACGTGCGTGCGTGCATGCGTGCATGCGTGCGCGCGTGCGTGCGTGCGTGCGTGCGTACGTGCACAGTGTCTCCGCAGTGCACATCCCGACGGCGCCGGCGTGCAGAACTCGCGTCTCGCTTTTCGCGCGCGCCGTTTAATACATCACGCGTGGGTTCGCATTCGCGAATATATCCCTCTATGCGCGCATCAGCGTGATAGCGCATCAGCGTGGATTATGTACGAGACACGCGGAAGCTGCGTGAAGGGAAGATTCCATTCCGACGACGACGCCGACGATTTTCCTCCGTCCGCGATTCTCTCCCGCAGCCAGCGACTCTCATACTCTCGTCTCGTTATCGCTTTACGCCGCGCTGCCTTTTGAAATCGTTTCTCATAATTCTCCAGCTACATAGAAATGACGTCGGCTGTCGACAATGGGCGCCCGGGGATGCAGCGGCGGGGGGGGGGTAGCGACGAAGAATCGCCGCGCGCTGCTAGAGCGATGTCGTCGACGGAGAGACGACGGCGCTCGGAAACAGCGACGACGTCGCGCGTTATTCCGTCGTTGAAACATTGTGTCACTTTGTGTTGCGCGTCGGCTTAAATAAATCTCTGATTAGATCACGCGTCGTCGTACATAATTAGGTTACCGCATAGAAAGCATCAACAGTATAAATTACCTGGCCAATCTCGTCGCTGTGTTATCAGATTTGCGAGCGACGTGGGATATTTTGCTCATCTCTCTCGCGACGCCGCCGCCGCTGCTGCTGCACATCGCTGGCTTCTTCGGCGGCGGTGGCGCTGCTGTTGCGCATGCAGACGCGCGTACGACGTCGGCCGCTGCTAATATCGCTGGGCATGTCTCTGCCTGGATACGCTATCAATCAAAGACCCATGGAGACAAATCCTTTTTATCGGATTTTTTGCTTCGCTGAAGCTCTCTGAGCGGTTTTAATGGCGGGCAGCGGCGGGGCTAGCGGAGCGTGCACGTGCACGCGCGCGATCGCTCCCGTGGCTGTCCCACGTTACGTTGGCTAATTGTCGAGTACTGAACGCGAAGAAGATGCTGCATTCGGCGCCATGATAAATTATTCGCAATAAAACATTCTCTCCGGTCGTCCCGTACATGCATCTTGGCTGGTCTTAGATGCGTGCACGTGCGACCGACGACGTTTGCGTTCTGTGTGTGTGCGCGTGTGTGTGCGTGCATGCGTGAGAGTGCGCGCACGTTTGCATGTGTGTGTGTGTGCGTGCGTATGTTTACGTATATGGGTGCATGCGCGCGTGCGTG